AGGCCTGCCATTATGCTTAACGCGCCTTGACATAACCCATGTTGACCACTCAGGTACGCGAACTCCACACATCGACAGCTAGCGACTTGGATAAACAACTAACAGAATTTACCCGATGCGCTGCCATGATGAAGAAGGCAGTCCGGCATGCAGAGTTCAAGGTGAGGGAGAGAGCGTTTTGCATAAATCGTTTTTGTGAATTTTATTATGTAATTGTAGAACAACGAACTACGGGACAAAATGTCGAAAGAAAAGGATGAAGTTCTGGAGGAGGTAATGGCGAAATATGAGGCGTTGTCATCGAGTCAGATTGAGGTAAGACACATCCTACTAATGACAGATACCTTTGAATGAGAAAGATTTCAGACAGAGAAGCAACTGATGGATAAGACGCGACAACTTCAAAGGCTGCAAGATGAACTGCGTCGGACGAAAGAGCAGTGCGAAGACATTGAGAATGCGATCTCCCGAATTTGCAACATGGCAGAACTGAGTTCTGCTCCCGTCCGGCTACGCACTCGCAGCGAAAGTCCAGGTAAGTTTGATTTGACTTATCGCGGGTTCAGCCGAAAATAAGCTTCTTTAGCTACTCCTCATACAGCTAGTGATGCGATGAGAAAAATCAGGTCCGTGCTGTCTTCAAAGGCTGCCGAACTTAGAGATGCTGATACAAGGCAAGCTTCGGAATAATTACAAAATCTATATCCTTCTGTTTTTTTGTACTACTTACCTTTTTTCCCTAACGCTGAAATGCTTCCAAATCAAGAAATTCAGGGTTGAACAGGCGGAGTTAGAGGTAAGCCGCTTAAAAAAGCAGTTGGAGGCTCATGAGAAGGAGAAGAAGTCTCAGAGAGACCGCGATAAATTAAAAGAGGAGGAAACATCTGAAAGGTAAAAAATGAAGTGCGAAGCAGATGTGCATTTTGGGAAAACATAGAATTTTAGAGAGATGAAGCTGTCAACAATCGAGCACGAGTTACGTAGAACAACGGAACGTTTACAGGCAATACAGCAAGAGAAGGAGATGAAAGAAACTATGATGACAACATTGCAAAACACCATCACTACAACACACAGGTTAGAGAATGAGATTTTTGGATTGTTACAAGCTGCGCCTCTTTACCGCGCATAAATGAGTACCATAAAAAAACAACATTTTTGTGTTTCTTATCTTACAATCAACCTCAGGTAAAGCTCTATTATTAATTATGCAATTCACTTTCGCCGAAACCTTTAGAAAAATATTTTGCACTTAGAAGTATTTGAAACACCACTCATAAGTTTTATAAAAAGCCAATTTTCTTGCTTTGCTTCTTACTTCACCGTTTTAGAAGGCTTTTGGTTTCAGGACTCACAAAGAGTTTATCGAGGGGCTTATGTCAAACCATCGTGATGAGTTGGCGTCTCGAGATAAAATGCATGAAACTGAACTTGAGGACAGGTTAAGTGAGGTTTGTACTACTCAACTATTCTCGAATCAAATTTAGCCAATTTTATGTGATTTTTATCATTATGAACTGTGGCGGTAAAAAAAGGACGGCACACCATCTTTTCTCTATTCATTCTTTATTGTTAAATTATTTCTTATACCAATATTCATATCTCATCCTCTAGAGAATATAAATTATCAAAATTTTATATATCAAAAGAATCACAAATGAAGACCAAAGACTTGAGCTTTTGAAGAACTACAGGAACTTATTATATGTTTGGTGGTTTTATGATGGCAGCCGCGGCAATATTTATTTCCGATTTTGGTATGGCCGAAAACTGACTATTTGGCGATCAAAACTTCCCGTTCCCCTTCCAGTACAGAATACTTGCGAAAATCAGTCTTTTTTCTAAACTGCATTTCTTTTTTTTTTAAATCATTTGTTTAGTGGAGAAGTTTTTCCGCACAAACACACATTGTAGCTGCCCAAGCAGTTTTTTATTTGATTATTCAGTCCATCTCCCTGGAGAGCCAAATTTGAATAATCTAATCATTTATTTAACAGTCAACGAAAAGATCTTAGGGACACTATGTTCAATGCGCCTTGTGACGGCAAACATGTAAGCAAAAAAAA